GTCCCGGGGCCCGGGGTCTAGGTGCGCGGGGCCCAGGGTACGGGGTCTAGGTGCGCGTGTCCCGGGGCCCGGGGTCTAGGTGCACGGGGCCCAGGGTACGGGGTCTAGGTGCGCGCGTCCCGGGGCAGAAGGTCTAGGTGCGCGGGGCCCGGCGCCCGGGGTCTAAGTGCGCGGGGCCCAGGGCCCGGGGTCTAGGTGTGCGCGTCCCGGGGCAGAAGGTCTAGGTGTGCGGGGCCCGGTGCCCGGGGTCTAGGTGCGCGGGGCCCAGGGTACGGGGTCTAGGTGCGCGCGTCCCGGGGCCCGGGGTCTAGGTTCGGGGGCACGGGGGTCTAGGTGTGCGCGTCCTGGGGCAGAAAGTCTAGGTGCGCGGGGCCCGGCGCCCGGGGTCTAGCTGCACGGGGCACGGGGCACGGTGAGCTAGGGGTGAGAATGTGCCGTTGAGAATGCGGCGGGGAGAGAGATGGGAGTCCTGGGTGGCTTTGAGGTAGGGAGTGGTAGTTGTCAAGTGGCTGCTGTGGTGGGTAGACTGTGGACCTTGAAAAGTGCCACCCACGGACTAAATCATGGTGGCTTGGAATGAGGTGGCAGCAGTGGAAATGTTGGAAACTGGTGGGATTCAGAATGTGTTTTAAATAGACCCAACAGGACCTGCTGATGGATTGTAGGAAAAAAAGATAAAAATGACAAGGATTTTCTTTTTCTTTTACCAAAGCATCTGGGTAGCGGTTGGTCCTTGCTAAAACGGGGAACACTGGGGTAGTCGTGGCTTTGGTGGGAGGGGCTGTTGTTTTTAGACATTAAGATTGAGATGCCTATTTCACATGCAAATAGTGACGTGGAGCCAGGAGATAGCAAGTTTCAAGCTCAGTGGAGAATTTAGATCACGGGATGTAAATTGGGGAGTCATGAAATGGTGTGTAAAATCATGAGACTGTAAGAAATCACGTAGAGTGATAATATTTATGCTCCAGAGTCTGCAGAGCATTGAGACCTCTTCCCTTGTCAAGCCACGAATCCTAAATCCAAATAACTGCCCCTTAATTTGTCCATCTTAGAATCAATATCCATGCCAAATACCCATTGTTAAGAGTGAGACTTATAAAGCTCCTGATCACACCATGACACGCACAGCAATCTGTAAGCTGCCTAAAGAGAAATTAATGCTGCTATCACTTGGTAAAATAGGCTAAAAACTAGTTTTTTTACCGTACTTTCAAGGGATTGATAATTCCTATTTGAGAGCAAAATAGAAAGCTTATTTTGAGACCAGTACAGTGTTGATACCCCAAACAGACAAGGGCAGAATTAGAAATATGATAGTCCCCGAGGTTGCCATTGTGTACCACGGACTGGAGTGTCTCATTCTCTAGTCCTAGCAGAATCATTGCCGTTTTCAGACTGTGCCAGGACAGATAACCAATTCTAGTTTCCTATTCTAGCTTTCCTAATTCTAGCTTTCCTGTCTCAGTTGAGATCCTGTTGTCTGCAGCTGCTATTCTTCCTGTACGATTTATAGTGTCACTTGAGGTTCAGTTGCAGAGAATAGAAACCATTCCCTTGGTATCGGCATGAAGAGTAGTGAATGCTTAGTTAGGAATGTGGATTAAATAGACCTAAGATTCGATTTTCAGGAATGAGGCCACCAAGGGAGCAGTGACCCTTCTGCGATCAGGAAATGATGACTTCTGAACTATGC